TAAACCCCTAAACCCCAAACCCATCGACGTTTGGTCGATCCGGAACCAGGAGGCCGGCTCCCAGAATCCCGGAGTCGCCCCGGGTTGGGTTTGAAGCGGTCCGGGAAGGTCCTCGGCCCCCTTTTTGGGGATCTAAACCTTCAGGGGTTTATATACGTACGTAGGGTTTAGGGGTTTAGGGTNNTAGGGGTTTAGGGTTTAGGGGGCCACGGGCGAGCTCCAATCAAGCCTGTGTAAAAAGGGGGTGTAGGGGTTTAGGGTGGTCCGAAAACCCAAGAAGTTGAAGTTCCGGGGGTTTTCTGATGCAGTCCTAATTTTGATCCCCTCGAGGCCAGATGATTCTTCTCAACTATATCCTGGATCGCCTCATCCGCTGGCTGATCTCCTCAGTGCTTGACCTGCAAAGAGTTGCACTGGGTTCCTGTGTTTCAATCATTCTGGTGTAGCCTTCGCTCCAGGTTCCGACACCGGAAGCCTGAGTCACTAACTCCGTATCGAGGCTGACGATGGTGACGGTCATGGCGAGTAGCGGCAACAGAGGCAAAAGCAGCGAGAGCGAACATCAACCACTGTAGTTAGATACGGATCAGAGAGGATCGCAATCCAAAGGCGCACCGACTAAACATCCTCAAACTTCAAGCCCTAGCCCTAAACACTGAGCCCTGAACCCTACAAGCTGTGACCGGCCATAAACCCAAAGGCCAAACTATTACTGTAGAGGTCGGAAACTTATACGAGTAGTGGCAATGAAAACTAATGATAGCAATAAGAACAATATCACTATCCCGATTTAATTAATCCATATATCTTTATTTCCATTATACCATACCCAAAACCCCACTTTTTTGTCCCTAAGGCCAAACTAGATACAGCCACGGGAAACCATTTTAGGATCCTTATGGACGCCCCAATATACACCTTACAAAAACGTTAGCAACTCTACACCTTGCCCTAACCCCTAAACCCAAAAGCCTCAACCTAAGAGCTTGAGGTGCTTTGGAAGCCAATGGACAACAGCAACTTCCGCATCTTCAGCCGATCCGTGGCCCTGGCGCTGCAGCGCAAGGCAGGAGGGTTTAGGGGTCAGGATTTAGGGTTTAGGGTAACAAATGCCGCCCATTGTCAGTAGTCGGGGATCCCCAGTAGAATGCAACAATACCAGCGTGATTTTTTACAGCACGGACCAATGGCAACCGTACACAAGATAAACCTCTGTCGCGACTCTATTAGCCGGATTTGTGAGAGCATAATATTCAAAATCCTTCCTCCCAACTCTGCAGAAGACCTGTATTTAACGGCCTAACTCTGTTGACCACAGTGACACGCAGGAGTATAAAATCCTGACCCCACTTATTTTAAGACGAGCTTGTCTTGCGGCACTAACACCAAACCTGAAATCGAGAAGTGCTTGCGCGCAGTGCATTCCGAAAGACCTTGAAGTTTCTGTCAGGATGTATAGGGTTTGGAGTTGAGCCGAACAGTACCCGAAAGCTTAGTTTAAGTCGGTTTAGGGTTTGGAGATCAATGGCTTATGCATGGTCAGTGAAGACGCAGAAGCTCAAGGTCATGGCTCCTGCTTTGCGAAATATAATGAAATATATAAGCTGTCTGGGGCAACTATAGTTGATAATGTATCATATGTACCCCCCCCCCCCC